AAAAGAATATTAAAAGGAAAAAAAACTGTCTGAAAAAGTTTATACTTCGTTTTTTCATTTTCCTCACGTAAACTAAATTAGCAAGCTAAAGATCAAAAGTTCATTTGTTTAAAAATTAAAGTTGCGCAATAGTTACAAGGATTGATATTTTTTACTTTTGTTCATTTATTATCAAAAGCAGTTTACTCTTAATTGCCAAAAACAAAAATTAACCTTACGCTGAATGGAGATTTAAAAGCACTTTAACTTTCAAAAAAGCAAATCTTTTATAGATTTCATTGTTATAAAATTTTCCAGCGTGGTTTTAAAATTAAGTTTTGTCACGACTTTGATGTCCAGTTGATAACCGAAGGCAAATTACGTCACATAGTTATGTAAAAAAGCAACTTCTTTTTAATTCTTTTTATTTTCCTGATGAAAAAATGAGGTAGCTAAATTAAACTGAGAATTATTTATATACTACTGCATTTAAAACTAAATTTTTTTTTCTATTTTTCATAAAAAATCAAGGAAAATTAAAAATAAAAATAATTTTTGGGCGCTTTTTTTTGGGCGCCTATACCGGTAAAACGGTACTAAAACATGTCTGGGTTCTTCACTGATTTATATTAAGTGACTTACAGGTGAACCAACACTGCACCAGCAGCCCATACAGAACAAAAACATACAAATATATTAAAAAGCCTATTCACTGAATACACCAGCAGTATTGTGAAGCAGTTCCGCTTCCTCTTCATAAATATATTTTACCTTTTTAGTTTAACCATTTAAGTTAGCTTAATGATAATTTGATGCAATAAAAATGTGGTTCTAGTTTGCAAAAGACAAAATAAAATCATAATTTACTTAGAATGTAATATGCTTTTTATATTTTAATTTATAATATATATTATAGTAAAATTCACAGATAGACTTAATTATAGTAAAATTTACCAATGGACTTAGTAAAATATAAAGTTATTAAATGTATATATAGTGTTCAGTTTGGAAACTGGTCATTATAGACTGCTGTTTCAGTGGTCTGGCGCATTGCAGACTTTTTTTAAACATAAAGACACTGTTAAAAGAAAAGGTCGAAAGGCTAGGTAAAAACTTTCTCTGAGCAAACAAATCTATATAATGTTTTCAAAATATCGAAATCTGTAAGCACTCAAGAGAGTGTTAACATATTTCGATTTAGTGTTTACAGACTCCAGCAAACACTAGGGTAATGTTAAATAAATTTTGTAACCCTAGTAGCTGATAAAAGTGAATTTTTTCTCCATACAATGAAACTCAATGTCATATGTATTGGGCTAATGAAACTTGATATACACTGATAGCAGATGTTATGTCTATCAATCGCTATAAGTTATTGCAAGAAAATCTGCATGTAAGTGATAATACTAAACAAGATGAACCAGAAAATAAATCAAATAAATTTTTTAAAACTCAGCTAGTGCTAGATCATGTGCAGAAAAACTATATGTTAATTGAACTTGAATTTGAACACTCAATTAATGAACGAATTATTCCTGCAAAATTGAAGTATAGCAGTATTTGCCATTTAATTTGTACAGAGATTGATTTAAGCACTACCAAGAAGTTTTCTTTGATAATTGGTTTTCTTTAATACCATTGTTTCCCTCTTTATAGAAAAAGGGATTTTTAGCAACAGACACTTTGATCAGATCGTACTAAAGGTTGTGCATTGCCAGATGAAAAAGATCTTAGAAAAACTGGCCACAGTTTTTAAGTTGATGCTAAGAGTGGCTTAACAATAACTAAATTGTATATGCAAATATACCATTTAGTTATTGTTAATATACCATAAAAAAAAAAAAAAAAAAAAATAACCAGTAGATGCATTCAAATGATTACTATTGTGAACCACAATAAGTTTGTAAAGCAAAGTGATAGGATCAACAACATAAGCAGTTTGTTGAAATTAATTGTCTTGTCTGGTTCAAGAATATAACAAAGCAATTAGTGAAGTTGATTTGTCTGAAATTTTAATATCTTTAATTTTATCCATCTTTTTGGTTTGATTGATTCATCCATATTTAATTGCGTTAACATATCTATCGATAACATTATTAGCAGTTAAAAAGATCTAAAAAATCTAAACTTAGTCTACTGCAGTTCAAAGTTTCCATTTGCGCTTCTACTAACAAACATACTAAAATCAGTTGGTCAGCCTTCTCAAAGAAGATCTATAATTGAGTTGCTTATTGAGCAAAGTTTGTTAATTGCTCACACATTTACTATCTGATGAAAGTTTAAGTCATCACCAAAAATTTGTTTGATTTAGAGTCGCCATCATGAATTATGAACTTGTGCAAATTAATTTTTTTTTTACCTAAACCTAAGACATACCGAGTGTTGGGTTAAAAAGTAAACATTAAAGAAGCAATTAAGTTTATTTTACCATTATTAATCTAATGTTTTAGATATAACTATTTTTAGCAATTAGATAAATAATAATAAGATAAACCATAAAATAAAAAATACAAAAAAATTTGCATAATTTGCAAATAAAAAGTGGTTTGAAAGGTAAACAAATAAAAGATTTTTAAGGCCAAAAGAAGTTGTCAAAAAAAAAAAGGATTGTTAAAAAAAAAGTTGTCCAAAAAAAGGTTGTCAAAGGTTGGTGTGGGTCTACATTAGTGGTGTATTCCAACTTTTTTTTGTCTAAAAGTAAAATTTTTGTATTGGTTAAAAGTTCTTTAAAAAACATGTTTACTGATTTGAGATATCAGATATTAGTTGAAAAGTAACTAACAAACAATATAGTATCTACAACCAAGTTTTTTTTGTATAAACCTTGTACTTATTACGTATTAAGTGTTTTATGCAGGGAGGAATGAATTCTTCATGAGTAGGAGTGAACCCTGACTTAGTCTTACTTAGTTTAAGTTTTTAAAAACGTTCACATTTTTTTCAAAATAGTATAACACAGAATCTAAACAAATTGTTTTTTTTTTTAAGTTTTCTCTTTTTGTTATTTAGATAAGTTTAAAGTAATTTATTATCATTACATAATTACTTATCTATGTTATGCTTAGCAAAGTCAATTTTTATTACATGACTATTTAGTTTAAAACAACATCTAACTTTAAATTTCAAGTAAAAAAGGTTATGGCTCACTCCTAACATCTGTTTGGTTCATTCTTATTTATGTAAGGGTAGGATTGAATCAGTAGGTATTTATTGAATATTGTTTAAGGCAATAAAATTCTCGAGATGTTTTGATATTAATTTTATTACTATTAGAAACCTAATATACCAAGCTTGGTCCTTGGGGTCCTTATCCTATATATTTATTTCTCACTTTTAGTCACTTTGATTCATTTTAAAAAGAAACTTTTTAAAAAGTAAACATAAAAAGTAGCTCACTCATACCATCCTCTCCTATATTTATATTATTATTGTATATTGTTTTTATAATATATATTTTACTAACATCTTTATTATTTTATAAAAATTTTAACAAATTTTTTTTTAATTTTTTATAGGAAATTCGATGGTTTCCCATTCAACACCTGCCAACTCATAAAAAAGATCCTGCTCCTAAAGAAGTATTTGGATTGTTTGCCAACAATTTCTTTATGATTCATACATTTATCAAGTATAATTTAATGTTATTAATTTACTTTTTAAAACATTCAAGTAGGTCTAATTTTTGAACACAACACAGGTTGTGTTCATATTTAAGGTAATGTTAAAAAAAAAGATTTGAACCAAGTTTTTTAGATAAAAAATAAATAATGAATGCCTATTGAGAAAAACTAATGTTGTTGTTTTAACTGAAGCTCGCCTTCTCCATTTTATTCAAAAATTCAGAGTATTTAAATTGTCGCAATCTACAGACATCGGCGATTTCTTTAAAGCGCGTTTTATTCATAAAAGTTTTAGTATTTGACGTCACGGTAGACTTGTAACAAATAAAACTCTGGAAAAATTTTTATTTATTTTTCTTCATAAATTTTTTCATTATTTGTTTAGTTATTTATTTTTTACTTAACATTTAAAAAGATATTAAAAGCCTTAAATACTTTATGCTTGTTCGTTGCTATAAATTGTTATTGCACTATATTTAATATTAATAAATGATGAATATTTATTATCTCAATCACAACTTTGATAAAAAATTGTTTTATATTCATTACCCGTATAAAATAAGTAACAGCATTTTTATTTAGTTAGACGATATTTTGTCTGAATTTGCTTTGCATGAAGATCGAGAAGTCAAACAAAAAAACTTAGTTTGAATAATTACGTTGAAACATATTTAAAACAAATTATTTTAATGACAGGGGTTTAAAAGTTTTTTTTAAAACAAATGATTTTCTAAAGTTTTTTATTAACAAAAGTAGGTAAAAAATAAATAACTAAATAAAAAGTTCAACATTAAACATCTTTTTTTTATTATATTGCAACTGTAAATATTGAAATATTAACTTGAACTAAATTTACTTATTATTTAGAATGACTAAGCAATAAATATAAAAAGCCCCTAAAATTATGCGATATTGTGTTGTTTATTTGATTATTGTTGTTGGTAACGTTGTTTATGTTGATTATTTTCATCAATATCAAAATAGTCCCAGATTAAACTGTTAGTTGCTTTGTTCATTGTTGTTTTTTTTTCTAATTTAATTTTATCTCTAAGTTTAATTCTATGTTAATAAAGAAAAGTTTTTATTTCATCAAGCTCTCTTTTTATAAAAGAAAGAAAAGTTTCGCGTAATTAAACTTCGAATGAATAAGAGTTGTATAGAATATATATTTTTTTGCGTCACTCGTTTTTTTTTTAGATAAGAGAAATAAAAGTTTATTTGTAACTTTTCTTTGAATAAATGAGAATAGGAAGAGAAAATTGCTTGAAAACTTGCATTTGTCAATTTTGTTAGTTTTTTAATTTTCCATGTTGTGAGACAAATGCCAAATACAACACATAAATTGGGAAATGCCAAATATAATATGTTTCCCAACGTCACGACATTTTGACAGTTTATATTACCATCTATCTTGAATTATTACCTTTAATTAATGTATTAATTATTGTGTTAATTAATAATAATTTGTCTGTATTTTTGTTAAATATTAATTGTAGAAAACGGACAAAAATATACGTACTTCATGTTTTAAATTTGATGGTTATAAAATACTGAACAGTAAACTTATAATCAAAATTTATAATGCTGTCTTGTGCTGCTATCGTACTTGTAATGCAAAACCAGGATCTCACATATCCTTTCACAAATTTTTATATCAATACTACTGTCAACTGTATTGTTTAGTGAGTTCTTGTACTTTTTTTTTCATAACCTTAACAGGTTCTAATTAGTATGGAGTTGGCGACATTTTAAAAATTTTGTTATCAAAAATCAAATGCAAAATAAAATATTTCCTTTTTATCCATACCTAATTCATTTTCTAATTTCCATACCTAATTCAGCAAATTTAGCAATTTAATTTAAATCAGCATAATCAAAAAATTTTTATAATAAAAAAATGTAAAAAATGTAACAGTTCATCAAATATCTCTAATTAATACTGTCAGTAATGAAAGTAATTGTTAATAAATACTTTTTTTCGACAGGAAAACAAAAAATGTCATAGTGTAAAAATGACCAGAGAAGTTAGAAAAAAGTTCCCATTGTTTAAATGAAAATAAGTAATATTTAGAATATATAATACTGCGCTCTTGCACAAAAACAAGAGACAGTATATATAACGTTCTATATAATGTAAAATACTCATATGAAAATCATAAGATTGGTAAGTAAAGCTTTAATATTTGTTTTAATTTAAAAATAAATGAAATTTAAGTAAGATATATAAATCTAAAAATTATTAAGATATCTGTAAAAAACAAGTTGCTCCTATAAAATAAAAATAATTTATTATTTTTACTTTTTTCACATTTTTTTTTGCGGTGTTTGGAAAAATAATACAAATAAATTTGTTTTACTGTATCTTAAAAAAATACTACATCATACTTTTTGAATTAAAGTAGAAAAGCGCAGCTTTGTTTAATTACACTTTTCATTTGTTAAAAGTCTACCGTGACGTCAAATACTAAAACTTTTATGAATTCAACGCGCTTCAAAGGAATTGCCAAAGTCTGTAAATTGCGATGTATAATTTAAAGACTTTATTTTTAATCAAAATACTTAGTTAAAACCTTTTTTTTTAATATTATCTTTAATATGAACACCACATGTGTTAGGAGTTTGGGATCCCTTTGAGCTTTTGTTTTGTTACTTTGAAGTAAATCATTGAGGTTTAAATTTTTATGATTAAGTTATTATTAATTTAGTTATTTTAGTTTTTGTTATTGCGCATGTTTTTATTACAGACCTCTGCGAAAATGGATTCAAGAAAAAAGTGAAAGCATGGGTAGCTTTAAAATAAAACCGCCTATTACATTAAGTCACCCAGAATGTGCATTAGTATTAGATGACTTACATTCAATTCAACAAAAAAGACACGAAGAGGCTGAAAAGTTTCGCCATATGCATATGCTAATTAATCCACTACAGTCTAGCAAAGAAAGTGAAAACACATTAAAGTCACTTTTAGGATTGAACAGTAAGAAATTCCTAATATTGTTTGCATTTGAAGCATTTTATATAATGTTATTTATGTTTTAAAAGTTCATAATAGAATAATAAAAAAGTACAATTATTAAAAATAATAATGGTTTGAAAATATCATTTGTTTTTTTTCAGCTTCCAAAACAAAGATACAAACTCAACCAGATGCTATTCGTAAGCTCTTAACAGGGAATTTAGATATATCTCCTCATCATCCTTTTCAGGAAACATTCAAGCAGTCTGTAACTTGTTCAAATGATATTGTTGTACAACATGAAAATAAACAATACATAAATGCACAATCTCATAGCCAATCATTCAAAAATCATCAAGTTTTTGAAAATCAAGTAGTAAAATCAAAATTGCAGCATGAAATTGTTTCTAATTTTACAAAGAATTCAAATGGACAGTCACAAACAAAAAAATCAGTTAATGTAGATCAAGATGTAAATAAATTAGGTTGTGATGGAGAGAAGCAAATATCTGTGACATTATCTGTGACATCATCTCTTCATTTTCATAATAATCGAAGTTTGGAATGCTATGATAATGAAGTTCCTTTTAAAGGAAAGAGTGATACAAAGTGTTCAATAAAGCCTCGAACATCAAAATTATCTGATTTTGCTTTTAAAGCTCCTGCTTTTTTAAATTTTAAATTTAACTATGATGAGATTCTTTCAAAATTGAATTGTTAAAATTAAGAAAAAAATGTTTTATGTGTGTTTTATAATTATTTATGAAAATCTTGTTACACTAAAATAAATATTGATAATTTTACTTGCATATAAAATTTTTCATTTAAAATTATATAGAAATTATTGTTTTTATTTCTTATTTTTTTTTATTTTTTATTTTTTTTATCTACAATTGTCTTACTAAGTAAAAAATGTTTGTTATTAATGTTTGATAACTTTTGAAGTTTTTATATTGTATTATATTACATTATATATTATAGTATATACAGTAATGTTCCTAAGTAAATGAACAAGTGCATAAATGGACTTATGAGTGAAAAGTCTAATTTCTTTCAAATTTTCACTAGCTTGTCTAGAATGTCACAAGAATGATTTCATCATTTAAGACAAATTAGTTTTCAGTAAATCTAAGCAATCTAATAGAAAGTTTATTTTATTGAAATGTGTATGTGATTATTTACATGTAACCAAGTAGAAATGTGTATGTGATTATTTACATGTAACCAAGCAGAAATGTGTATTTGATTATTTACATGTAAACAAGCAGAAATGTGTATGTGATTATTTACATGTAACCAAGCAGAAATGTGCATGTGATTATTTACATGTAACCAAGCAGAAATGTGTATGTGATTATTTACATGTAACCAAGCAGAAATGTGTATGTGATTATTTACATGTAATCAAGCAGAATTAAAGTATTAACAATAAAATGCATAAATGCTTTTTAAAGCTAAAATAATTAAATAAAAATTTTAGAATAAAAAGAGATTTGTTTTGAATAGATGTTACAAATATCAAAACAAAAATATAAAAGTTTATCTGTCAAAGAAGCAATATTGTGTATAATAAGCCATCGCTACTCAGTTTGCAATTGGAAAATCAACAGTTGCGGATATAAATAAAAGAGGAAAGAATATTAAACTTTAGTTTGTACCTTAAAAAAATGATCCAAACAAGAATGGTATCTTGTTGAAATGAAAGAATTATATATATAGATGTCTTGCTAAAATGAAAGAATTACATAATAAGAAATAAAATGTTGACACAACCAAGCATTGTTTAAGGTCTGCAATTCTATTTCAAAAGAGTACCTCTTATTTCTGTAAAGAATCAAAGAGCATGCAGAACATTACATAAATTGACTGATTATCTAGGGAGAACATGCAAGGGAGTGCTGCTACATTAAATAAAGATTTGGTTTCAATCAGCTACCATTTTTTTTTCTTATTCTTTGTTTTCTTCTTTTTTCCTAAAATACTGTATAGATTAAAGTCAGCATTTTTGCTCACCAAATGCTGACTTGAATCTATGTAAGTAAGTAAGTGTGTGTATATATTATATACACACATGCTTTTTCTTTTTTAAATGTATGTATAGCATATAAAATAATAATGTATAGTAACACGCATATAAAATAAAATATATAATAACACACATACTTTCGCTTTTTTATATTTTTGTATAATATACAAATAGATATTTTTGGAATCAATATTGCAGTTTTTATAATACATGTTTTTTTTAAATTAATGTTTCAACTCAATTGTTTTTAAATTAGTTTTCGACTTTAAGAAATTGCAATTTTAGAAATTAAAATAACTATTTATTATGGGTAAGAAAAAGAATTCTAAAAATGCAGACTTGGGGCGTGCACTTATAAAAGAGAAAAATACTGAAAGAAGAGGCCATGGTTTAAAAGCCACAAGTTGGGTATGTTTTTAAACTTAGTTATGAAATTAAATCAATCTATTCAATATAGTTTCCATTATTTAAATTTTTATTGACTGTTTTAGCTCCACTCGAGCGATTTACACGATGGGTATGATTGGAATCGACTGAACTTGCAATCTGTAACTGAGCAAAATACATTGGAAGAGTTTCTTGAAACTGCTGAAATGGCTGGTGTTGAGTTTAAAGCAGGTAAATTTCTTGAATGCTTTTAATAAGTTAAAAAATGTTTTTTAAAAAATGTTTTTTAAAAAATTGATTTTGAAATAAGATATTAATTATCTAGAAAAAAGGTTAGTAAATGTAATTAGACATAAGGTATTATTAGTTTTTAGACATAAAAAAAACTCCTCTTAGGTATGATGGAAATGGTATCTAGCTATTGCCTTTTTTTGGAAACCATTGCTTAAATGTATATAAAAAAAAAATTCAATTTTTGAATCTATTTAATATTCAGATGGTAATCAGAAAACTTTATGGTCTCCAGCTTCAACCACTCCCTACATCATGCCTTATAGTTTTTGAATTTGCGTAATTAAAATATAGGTCTTAAAAAATATATAAAATTAAAAAACAAAAAATTATCACAAAGGAGAGAAATTACAAAAATAAGGTATTGAATTTTCAAAACAAACATTATGAGCAATTTATTACTAAATCAGGAAACATTATGATATATAAACATATTATAGATAAAAACAGCTTTAAAGAAATAAAAAAAAAATGTTAGCAAAAAAGAAAAATGACACAAAGAATTCAAAGCAAATTTGCAGTTTAATTTATTTTTAAAAAGGGTATTAGAGTGGTAAAGACTAAAGTGTCATGTACCACCCAAAAAATCTTTTTCATCTAGAAGACATATATTTAACATAGATTTTAACTTCTGTTTCATTTTTTTTTACCTAGGATTTTGAATGCCAGACCTTTTAGACTCAACTCATGATTTCATCTCAATAATGGGTCACTATGGTAGTGGTTGCAAAACTCTTTGTGTTTTTTCTTAATTTGGGTACAAAAACAAAATTTTAATGCATTAATGGTTCTAAGGTTAGCTTTTAGTAAAGTTTCCCAAACTCTGTAGGAATGTACTCTATACACTCTCAGAAAAGCTAATTCTATCAAAAACTGTATTTTTTTGCCTGTGCGTAGTGCGCCATTTTCCTTCAGACTTATTAGTGGATACCAGTAATCTAATTAGGAGTGAGTTTGTGCATTAAAAAAATTTAAACTATTGTAAAATAATCTATTGTAATCGTTAATCTTTGCACTTTTAAAATACAAAAATTTAGAGCTGCCTGTTCTAAATTGACCTCCCAAATTGCTGGATCAGTTTTCAGAAATTCTATTGAAATTTTCAGACAATCGAATAACAACATGGAAATCTTTGTAACAAAATTGGTCATTGTTACAGATTTCTCAACATATAGCTGTATCCTTTTGGAGGGTCTACTTGTCCTTGTTGTTCATGTAAAACTTTTATCATTGTTTGTTTGGTCTGTGAGTTCACTGCTGAATCAAAAATGCCAAATACACTAGATTTTTACTGATATATTGCATATGGCCAGCATATTTATTGTTGGCTGCTTTATATATATATATATATATATATATATATATATATATATATATATATATATATATATATATATATATATATATATATATATATATATATAAATGAAACAGAAGTTATAATGAAGTGTGCTCCGTTGTCATAACAACAAACAACAGAAAAACTATAAACGGCTACCTAATCACCCGAATCGAACTTTGTAAGAAGAAATTTGCTTTTATGTTTACATTTAGAAACTAATTCATTCCTCTTATTTAATAAGTTATCATTGGTGTAAGATATTATGAAATACTTTTCAAATAAACAAAGGTTGCAAAGTTTTTCTATGGGACTGTAAGATCTACAACCTTTTACAATTTTCCATTCAGTTGTCGAGCTTACTCCACTTTCTTTTAATCTCCATACTTCCTTAGATAATTCAGTGTTTTTTTTATATTTTTCGATATTAAAAGATTTTGTATGGTTAGCGTATCTAAGTTTGAATGTGGTTTCACTCCCTCCAAAATACATTTTTTTATATCTGTCCGGAGTGGCTGGGTACAAAGTGGCTTAATACACTATGTTATTTACAAGGCATTTTTTATTTAGAGGGCACTTGCTTTTGATAACACAATTGCAATGTTTATTGTAGTCAGAGGTGTTGTTTTTCATATTATGATGGTTATGAGAGTTAACTATTGATTTAATGTTTGGCATACAACTGTAACTCACCTTTAGAGTATTTCTATTAAAAATCTTGTGGTATTTATGGCCAGCTGGAATGTGTTTGTCTATTAAATTCAAAAAGAGTTAAAAAATATTTCTACCAATTTTGGTAGAAATATTTTTACTATATGAGGAGTGAAACCAGTTTATATTACGCTTCCGATTTTTTGATAGAAGTTGGATAAGTTTTGGAATATAGTTAAGTTTGAATTTGTAACCAGACTTTTTTAATGCATCCTAATACACATTGAAGGAGTTTCGAAAAAAATTTTCATTAGATGAATTAGCTGACAGTCTTAATTGTATAGAATGAGGAAGTTGCTTTAAAATGCTAGGAGGGTTATTGGATTCAACATGTATATAACTTAGTTCATCATTTGGTTTACGAAACGGTCTGAAAGATTGAACATTGAGGTTCAGTGTCTCGTTAAGAAAGTTCACAACTTTCATGTTACATTGTATAGCGATAGAAAGATTGCTATTTTTAAAAATTTGAATAGTATGTTTTTTTATTGCATCCATGCAGTGGCCACTTGCATTTTTAAAAACTGCTAACCCATTTTCACGGTATAAGCCAAAATCTGTTTTGTTATAATGCTGGGATAGCTGAGAAAAAAAAAATCTGAAAAGCTCACATACCTCTGCTCCACCAAAAGGACCCAAACAAACCACTGTTCTTTTTAATCCAAGGTTGCTCTTTATTAAACTAATGATTTTTGGGCTTGTTTAATTATTAGTTTATCTCCATTTTTAAATGGTAACATATTTCTCAGCAAATTCAATCAAGTTATTCAAAAGATATTCATTGAAAGAAGGATAAAAAGCAATGTCAAAAATTAAAAGTTTGAAAAAATGTTTGTTTTTAATTTCTTTGAACCAATCTAAAAAATTTTGCGTGCTTTTTTATTGATTGAGACTGAGAATATTTTTCAGCTCAGCAATGACGTTAGATAAAATAAATTTACTTTTTTTACTAGATTTAAAAGACGGACAGTAGGTTTGTTTAAAAAATTGTCTTTATGATCTTTAAAAGTTATATATATATATATATATATATATATATATATATATATATATATATATATATATATATATATATATATATATATATATATATATATATATATATATATATATATCTACTGTAGCATTTTTATATGCGCAATTGCTCACTTTTTTTGCTAGCCTAAATTAAGTGAGTGTTTTTAGAAAACAATGAGGGAAAAAAAAAGAAAAATGAATGAAAAAATGCAATTTTTGTGATGCTGATCTCAAAAAGATTGAGGTTGGCATATTATTGCCGACCTCATTTTTCCTAATTCCAAGTGATATATATATATATATATATAAATATATATATATATATATATATATATATATATATATATATATATATATATATATATATATATATATATATATATATATATATATATATATATATATATATATAGTTTGATTATTTGAAAAAATACAACTTTGTGATGGAACTTAAAGTTTCATGCCTTTCGGCAATCATCAGCTATATTTTATATATATATATATATATATATATATATATATATATATATATATATATATATATATATATATATATATATATTAGGGCTGTTCAGTATGCTAATTTGTTTTCAGAACATAGCTAATTGAAGTTTTTCCCATTCAACTACCATATGTTCAAAAATATTTTTTACTAAATTTTATTATTTGCCCTAAAGGTCCCTCAAAGCCACTAAACATTTGACAGGTCCCTAATATTATTAAAAAAAAAATTATTTAAAAATATGTCAACTTGGTACTTAAAAGAAGCAAAATTTTATAAAAATTTTAAAAATTAGATTCGTTTTTTATAAAAAATAATTTAAAAAAACTTATTAAAAATGTTGTGAATATTGACTTTTTTTCATTTTTCGTTTAAAAACCATAGTTTTTATTCAAAAAAACCTAATACTGTTATTTTTATAAAAAATTCTTTTTGTTTTTGAAATTTTTAAATGATTTTGCTTCTTTTGAGTACCAAGTTGACATATTTTTAAATAATTTTTTTTTCAATAATATTAGGGACCTGTCAAATGTTTAGGGGCTTTGAGGGACCTTCAGGGCAAATAATAAAATTTAGTAAAAAATATTTTTGAACCACAATATGATAGTTGAATGGGAAAAACTTCAATTAGCTATGTTCTGAAAACAAATTAGAATACTGAACAGCCCTAATATATATATATATATATATATATATATATATATATATATATATATATATATATATATATATATATATATATATATATATATATATATATATATATATATATATATATATATATATACATACATATATATATATATATATATATATATATATATATATATATATATATATATATATATATATATATATATAGCACACTTTAAATATATATATATATATATATATATATATTTAAAGCGTGTATATTTACTCGTGTTACATATACAGGCCTTCTCAGGAGAGGCGTGCGGTCGCATGCCTTGAATAACCACGCATATATATTCAGGCCTTGCGATGAATAAGAACTGCCCGACGCATAAGCACGACGTGATTTTTGACGTCATTAAATTCTTTTTATTTGCTTTTCATATTTATCGACATTAACTGCACCAATTTACTTAATTACCGCAAAACTACTTTAAATCGTTTATGTAGAAATGTTATTATTTAAAAATGTTTTGGAATGTTTCGTTTTTTAAAATGTAAAAACATTTGTTTATTTTCTTGACGTTTGTCACGTTTTGTCTATACTTAAACGAATAAAAAACATTATAACTTAAATTTAAAAAAGATTATAAAATATGCTAATATTTGATTTTTTTTTTCTTAAATATGTAATTTAAAGTTTTTCAAATATTTTTTTTTTTTTAAAAAAAGTCAGCA